TTTTTTTCTGCTGTTTTTTTCTCGGCTGCTGTGTGTATTAATATATATTTTTTAAAATCTAATATATTTCGCACCATTTCATCATATAAAATTATATAAAATTAACAAAATTTAACCAATAGTTTAACTGATCAATCAATTTTATCACTTAATCAGTCCAACTTAATTGACTGATCAGTCAGACTGTTGATTAAAATTCGTTAATTCCATATAATTTTGTACGATGAGTTGGTACAGGATGTCTAGTTTTTTGGCATACCTCTACACATAACCACCTTTAAAAAAATTTTTAAAAAAAAGCCAGCACAGCCTAACAAATAAAATAAAATTAAATTTAAAAAAAATTGAACAGTCAATTTTATTACCCAATCAATCCAACCCAACTCACTTACAAAATGTCTAATTTTTTAGCACACTTCTATATATAATCACCCCTATAAAGAAAAGCGAAAAAAAAAAACTAACACAGCTTTGAAAGAAAAGAAAAAAAAAAAGAAAGAAAGAATTTCGAGGCAAATTCGAGACCTCAACCATTAATTCGAGGCCTCAACCATTTTCCATATACATGTAAGAAAAAATTAATGTTGGGGAAGCGAAACCTAACAAAAACAGTAAATTTTATAAACTTAAAAAAAATAATTTAGAGTTTTTTTTGTGTCATTTTAGTCATTATAATTTTAATTGATTCAATTTTGATATTAAATTTATGACTTTATCTCAATTTGGTCTACTTAATTACAACTATTAACATTTTTTTTTTGTATGTAGAAAATACATACATAAATGGCGTGTTATATTGTTAAGGACAAAATTATAAACTTACTCAGCTTAGTGAGTTAATTTCAACCAATTTAGTGATTATTTTTTTATCAAAAACACTAGCAGTATTATCAATTGGATAAAATTGATACAAAATTTAAAATTAAAAGTCAAAATTGAGTTAATTGAAAATATAGAGATCAAATAACACAGTGGAGCCAAATATAAGGACCACTCGTATAATTTGTCCAAATAATTTATAATTAAAACCAAGTTTCATTCATAATATTGCCTCACAACGAGAAGAATTTTGCACATACACTTTAGATTTGCATTCTTAATAATTTTCTGCTCCTTTTTTTCTGGGTATGCAGACTTTCTCCTATCTAAATACAAACCTTTAAAAAAACACAAATTCATAATTATGTATTAGAATTTACCTAAAAATAACAATTAATGGTTCAAATTCATTTTATTTGTAAACTCCACACTTCATCAATTTAATTTCTACTACATATATTCATTCTGGATAAATTCTGAGACCCTATTTCTGAGATTCCAAACTTTTTTCATAAAAAAACAAAAAAAACAAAAAATTGCAATATACAAACAAGATTTATTATGACAGTACAACAAAACTTTAAGCCTTTAACGTAGATTCCAAATTCGGGATAATTTTTGGTAACAAAAAGTAAGCACATTCTTTTCGATTCTTTTCTTAGTTCCTTCTAGAAAAATGATGGGCCAAAAAAATTGATTTTAAGAAAACAAAGATGAAATCACAAGAAATACTAGGTAATTTTTTAAAGAAACGACAAGTTCAAGTTCTATTCCCTGTTCTTTGGGGTCACTTTTCACCTTAGATTCAGTAATTAAATGTAAAACAGAAGTAGTATTTTCATAGCTTTTCACAGTAAATGTAAAACAGAAGATTACAGTGTCCCAAAAGTAGTCGAAAAATAAACCCAATAGCAGATATTGGTAGTATTTTCATAGCTTTTCACAGTAAAAGTCCAACAAATTAAGAATTGAGAGAGAGTTGTGAATAGATGATCAATACCAAGAGAGAGGAGATGGAAGTGAAAGCCCAGGTTTTGTAACGTCCAAAAAAAGAGTTGGAGAGTGTAGAGGGTCAGAAATTAAGCTCCAAATTAAATATGGGGCTAATTGCTGAGGTCGCCCCTTTGAGGCGATCAGGAATGAAAAAGGAGCATGGGCAAAAGCCCAAGGGAAGTGGCCCAACAGAGGGCCGAAGCAGGTCCGAGCCGCCAAGGGCCTAAACAGACTTCACGAAGGAAAATGCTTAAGTCAAGTTGCAGAGGCAACGCATGCAACAATCAAGTTACAGAGGCAACACATGCAATGGTCAAGCTACGGAGGGAACACTTGTGGTGATTAAGTTGCGGAGGCACTTTGTCTCAGCGCCGCCATTCCAAGTATTGTCGGTACCACCGCCATTCCAAGTATTGTGAGTTCCGCTGCCACCTGGAGTTGCTGAGGGAATGAGAGAACAGAAGCAACTAAGCTGCAGAGGCATTACTTGCAGCGCCCAAGTTGCAGAGGCACTTTGTTGGCGCCATCTCCAATATTGTCGGATGAGTGGGATTGTTAATAAGAGAATTATTAGTGAGGAGGCTTGTTAGCATTTATTATCAATATTAAACAATGCATAAAGAGTACTTGTTAATATTTGTCTTTTAAATTTATAAGAAAAATTAAAGTGATTCTATCTCCTAATATTTCTTTTTGGGACAATCACAATTTAGTGCTGTTTTTTAAAAAAATATATAATTTCAAGTTAGTGATAAATTTTATGAACACTAATAATTAAAATTTTAGTTTTTTCCATGAATTTAATAGTGGTAGATATTTTAAGATAGAGAAAAAAAGAAAGAAAAATTAGTCGAGGTGAGCGTAAACTGATCCAAACTCCTGGTTATAAAAAAAATATGTGTTTTTAGATTTTTGTATTTCAAAATTTTGACATAATTAAATATTTGCAGATATTTTAAGACAAAATAATAAAGATGTTTAGAGACACGATCTTTGGCGTAAAGTTGTAATTCATTTTTTCCTTTGTCTTTGAAAAACTACATTCATTTATAAATAAATACACAAAACATTACAAGATCAATGTTATAATATGAGTTTTGTAAATAAAATAATTTTTATGAGTATTTTGTTTTAAAGTAAATAACCACATTTAACCACATTACTTCATATAAAAATTATGTATAAATTTTTTATTTATATATCAGGTTTACTTATACATTTGTATTAGCTATTTGCCTATTGGAATTCTCGATAACAATTTTTAGTGAAATTATAACTATGACGTAAACTCTTAAATTACCCTTAAACCAAGGGAACTGTAAATGATATCAAACTCCTATCCTAATAACTTTTACTTTAGAAAAAAGTGACCAAAAATATATACCTACTTACTGGTAAGATAAAATATATATCTCTGGTACTTTCAAAATATATTTAGATTTTAAATTTGTTAAAGAGCAAAAAATGAAACAAAAATCAAATTACTCTTCCTTCTATAAATCCAAGATACAAACTCAAAACTTGTTTAAAACCATTTTCGTTTTGTGTTCTCAATTGTCAAAAAACTAATTTTTGAAAAATGTTGTACCATTGTTGAGTGAGCCCACTTTTAGCTCCCACGGCTCGCATGGCTAACCACTACAAGAAAATACACTTTTGGCGATCATTTTTGGCGACTAAAAAAAATTTAGTCACCAAAAGTTGTTGAATTGGCGACCAAAAATAATATTGGTCGGCAAAAGTCAAATATTTAGCTACTAATTTTATTTAGTAGGGAATATTGATTATTGGTGACTAAAAAAAAATTAGTCACTAAAAATATCACAATTGGTGACTAAAAAAAAATTTAGTCACTAAAAATATCACCATTGGCAACTACAAAATTTTTTAGTAGCCGTATAGCTAGTTTTGACTACTAAAATTGTTTAGTAACCGAATGAAAAAAAAAAAAATTATATTTGGTGACCAAAAGTTTAGTCGCCAAAAGTATATTTTCAGCGACAAAAGAATAATTTAGTAGCCATATAATTAATTTTAGCTACTAAAATTGTTTAGTAGCCAAATGAAAAGAAAAAAATTATTTTTTATTGGATTAATTACCAAAAAGTCCTGTCTACATATTTGGTGGTAGCTTAGGTCCTGTCAAAAAGTTTTTGAACCAATAAGTCCCATTTATAGGTAAAAAGACGTTTTGTTCTTTAATCCTAAAACTGATAATGTTCTCAATTTCAAAATTGAGAATGTTCTCAATTTTCAAAACAGAGAATGATTTCAGTATATAATTATCACAATTTGTTTGGCTTCTGGGAAAAGTATGGAATTGAAAAGAAAGATAATTCTGTGAACCTGACACATTAGATTGTTGATTTGAGTTCTTTTTCATGATTAAAATTGAGAATATTATAAACTGAGAATATTCTCAGTTTAAAAAAAAAAAAAGACTCAACTTAAGAGTATAATGCAGTGTCATGTGTCTGAGTACTTGGTTCTGTCTCTACACAGTGACTCGAGTTTAACAGAGAGTTTGCAATTGAGGGTCGTGGCTTGCTTTGTGTTGCAATTGTAGAATCTAAATCTGGAAATCGATTTCTTACTCTGAATCTGGATTTCAGACCTCATTTTAAGAACTGAGAGGACTTTCGCATCAGTTCGAAACTGGTTTGATGCGAGTCGCGGATGAATTCAAGGGCAAAAGTCGTGATCTTGAACTGAAATCCAGATTCGAAATCGAAGAGTGACCTGCGAAATTGATTGATCGAGCTTCAATCAATGACGAATCAAGACCCAGATTACCCTTGTGAACTCGAATCACCCATGTCCGTTGGACTGAAGTTGCGTAGAATTTCGAATTGCAACTATGGAGAGAGAGAGAATGAAGACAGCAATGGATGTTTGACAGTTATGGAGGAGGTCTTGCAAGGGTAAATTGGTCTATTAAAAATTAATGAGATTTGAAGGAGTAAATAATTTTATCTAAGACTTAATAGATTATAAGTTCACAAAATGAGACTTGTATGTAAATGTCCCTTTTTATATTTGGCGACAAAAAGTTTGATCGCCAAAAATATATTTTCAGCGGTAAAAAAATATTTTAATCACCAAAAAATTAAAATATTTGAAAGAAAATTTCAAATTTTGGAGAGATTAAAAAAAGAATTAGCGATTAAAATATGTTATTAATTATTCTAGTGCTCTGCCAGCCCTCTCCCACTTCACTCTCTCATCTCATCTCATCATCCCTCTCTCTCTCTTTCTCAGTCCTGTCTCTCATCATCCCTCTTCTCTCTCTCTTTCTCTCAGGCGACCCTCCTACCGGCCACCGCCCACCACTGTCGCACACGAGCACCCACCTCCTCGCCGACGACGGTACAACCCGCCTCCCCACCAGCGACGGTACCACCCATCTCCCCACCAGAGACGGACAACAGTAGCTACTTTGATTTGTCTCTCCTCCAGCGCACACCCGGTATTTCCGGCCTCTCTCTCTCTCTCTATATATATATATATATATCTTCACCCAATTTCTAGGGTTTTATATTTGCTTTTTTGTTTCTTTAATTTCGAATTATGATTATCAATTCTTAGAATCATTATTCAATCCTGATAGAGTGGTCGTGTATGTGATGTTGATTCATAAAATTTCGAATAATTTGATCAATTTGCAGTTTAATTTGATGTTTTGATTGTGTTCTGAATGTGAAATGATATTCAGAGTTCTGGTTTATTGGTTAATTGAACTTTAATTGATATGATTTGGAGGGTTTAGGGGCAAAATTAGGTTATTGATATATCAACTCTGAATTCAAATTGAAAGTCAATGAGTGAATTTGATGAGTTGGTTGCTTTCAGATTTATTATTTCAGTAAGTTGGTTTCAATGTTCTGCGTCATTGTAGTAAACTTGTCCTTTTATTGTCAGTTTGTCATTATTATATTTCAGCAATTGGATACGTGTGAGTTATTGCCATTGGTAACAAAATTACACATCCATTGTTTGGGGTTTTATGGGGTTGGGTTTACACACCAAAACAGTTGATAAAAGTGCAGGAGGTGGTTACTGGATCACAATTTACTTAGAAAAAAGTTTACTGATGTGGGGCTCTCCCTAAATGAGAAATGATATATAACTTCATCTAATAGTTTACAAAATTCTCTTCATAGAACTCTCTTACCCTAAGTTTTCCCATTATCAACTTTTTCTGTCCCTACTTTCTCTCTATGTTCTATTTTCTTAGTTTGGTTTTATCGTTGTAAGATCAGATGAAATTTTCAATAATTGCAACCTTAGTTAGCAGTGAACTGCCAAAGCTGTCATTTAACTTAAAATATACCAGTAGAGAAGGGATTGGGTCTAGGGTTCAATTTTTACTATTTAGTATTTACTACTAACAAAAGAAAAGAAGGCTGCAGTGGATTAATTGATAGAGCGTCGGGAAGAATTTTCATCTGCCTTACTCTCTGTTGTTTTTTATTTTTATTTTATATCAATTACATATTATCTTTTCATCAAAAACTAGTTGTCAAAAGAGTATGAGACAAATAATGATAATGATATAGATGATCTTATGCCAGCAAGTAAAAAAAAGCATAATGAAGTAATTCAAAAATAAATGTATGAATTAGATTCCTTCTAGTTGTAGTTCACATCGCATTAGATATAAATTTACTCCATCACTTCATTTTTAAGGGGTTTTTTTTTATTATTTGATTTGATTTGATTTGATTTGATTTGATTTGTAGGTTTTCTTAGGGCTAGTTGATCACGAGAAGGAATCAATTTAGTCTAGAGCAGGGAACACACCAATAGAAGGTCATGTGAGATTAGAAAACAGTATGTTGTTCAGATATATGCTTGAGCTTGACTTAGAAAATACTCAATGTATAGCCAAGAAAGAAATTGAATGACCTAGTAGATACAAAGATGATATATAAACCTGTGGGCTTGAGGATGTCTAATGGCAACAACAGTGCATGTGAACAAAATTTTATATAAATGTCTGTACTATTTAGATGCCTTTTACAAGAAAGAAATGCAGTGTGTGATCTCATAACTTTGAATCATGTGGGGGAAGAGTAATGATGAATAAATAAAAAAATTTACCCATTTTTTTTAATATAATGACTTAGTTAAGTTTTGAGCCTATCACTTTAAAATAAACAGCAATTGAGATGCCTTTAATTCTCAAAATGATGCTGATACCTTATTTGGTACAAAATTTTGTATAAAAATTCAAATAGAATAACATTTTCCTTTGGGTGAGAGAAATGATTTACAAATAAAAAATTCATACAAGAAAGTTTTATATAATGTCTTTTGTGGGTTTTAATCCTATTACTTCATAACAAAGAGCCATTGCGATGTTTTTAATTACACAAATTATATTGTCATATCATTTCTCGATTGTCCTACACTACACAACCTCAATAAAAACCATGCACTAGAAGTGATACACAAAAATTTATTTAAAAACAATTATGGACTTTGTGACAACAGATAGAATGTAACGGCCACCTTCCCTGTGATGAATAGGACCTGTGACAACAGACAGAATGTAATTAGCATGTATAGGTTGGGAGTTAGAGCCGAAAATGCATTAAACTTAACCGAAAAATGGCGTTAAGGGGGCAAAAATGCGAATCAGCCCCCGAACCGCCGTACGGACGTCACGGCCACCTTCCCTGTGATGAATAGGACCTCTTGGAAAGAATACAAACACATTTACAAGGCTACCGTATCACGAAAGTATAAATGTCAAATCCAATTATATGACTACCAACAGTAGAGATTGAGGAACAAAATTACTTGTTTTGAATGATTTTTGTAATTTTAGCAGCAAAAGTCCATACATTAGTGTGCTAGATCCTTAAAAAAAAGGGTCAGTCATGTCCAGGCTTCTTGATATCTCGACGTCTTTAGAACTTTGTAATGTGCATAGTCAGCCCCCCACTCATAGATAACCCATTTTCTCCCGAGATAGTTGAGTTCCATTAAGTGGCTTTTAACTCTTAGCTCTCAAGTTTTGATCTACCACTCCCAAGATCTAGTTTAAAGTTTAGCTTATATGGCTAAATACTGATCAATATAATATTGTGCTGCTTAGCAGGTTAGGGTGAATACTATACTGGGATCTTCAGCGCCATCTCTATCAGTAAAACTCAAGCAAGCTTTCAGTTATGGTTCAAAGGATGCTTCTATAATTGAGAGCCAGGTGCTACGTGTGACTCTTTTGTTTTTTATCAGATGCTCATGACCATAATTTGCCTAACTTGTATCCCAATGATCTTGTCAATTGCCTTGACGCAAGAACTCAAGTTTGATCAAGAAAATGATGTCCATTTCTTGGATGCATGGCCAAAGAGTGTTAACGTAGGCAATTTTGTTTTTGTATTTGAGGTGATTGTATTTATTATTGTCACTTCCTACTGATCTGAAGATCCCCATGTTTTTCCTCTCCCTACTGATTTTTTTTGAGGTTTGTGATTAAGACTTTTCAAACTTCGAATGTGATATTTGGTGTGAGAAAAATGCTTCTATTACAATCAAAATAAATACGACTTATTGATCTTTATGTGTTATTTTTCTGTATTAATGTTGTTATTCATTATATTTTTTACTTCAGCAGATTAAAATTTGCATCATGCTATGCTTTTTCTTCAGGCTAGATTTAGTTGGAGAGACTGCTCTTTCGTTATCAGCAAACCATCTACTAAAGCTGCGTTTATCATTTCAATTGACCACTCCACTTGGGCATTCATTTAAACCACTTCAGGTTTGTATTTTGATTTTGGTTTGTCTCTTTAATAATGTTTTCCTTCTTATATCAAGGTTGTTGATAACTTTGTTTGCCTGCAGGGTTTTCTCAAGTTGAAACATGAGACCAAAGTTGAGCACATCTTTGTCTTGGGGAACTCTGGTGAATTGTTTGAAATAACACTAGTAAGTTCCTCTGATCAATCAAATCTTAAATTTCATTTCCTCCTTGTTAGGATCTACAGAAGTTGATCAATTTAGCAACTCACAGATCTATAGAACTTTGTAACAAGACTTCAGCATGAGTTTATTGATATGTTGCAATGCAATCTAGTCTGATATACTAACCTTAAAAGAAAATTAATTATGAATTCAACAAGTTAGTTACCTGTTAGTGATGGTTAGATGTAGTAGTTTCCTTATATATGTGGCATTTGGTCTTGTAGGATTTTCTCAAACTGGTTGAGAAGTTTTTCTATCTTTCTGGTAGAACTATACAGAAAATATGAATAAAAAGCTTTATGGCATATTGTGCACACCATTCTATTCTAGAAAATAAATGAAATTTGTTAAGAAATAAGAATATTTTGTAATGTACTTGGATATTAGGTTAAATTAAAGGGAATTGGATACCTAGAGACAAACCTATGTTACTTTCTTTATTAAAATTTATTCAAACAAAGGCGTTAAGGAGGCGAAAATGCAAAACAGACCCCGAACCACCGTACGGATGTCACAACCAGCTTCCTCATGAAAAATAAGACCTATGACAGTAGACGGAATGTAATTAGCACATGTAGGTTGGGAGTTAGAGCCGAAAACGCTTTAAACTTAATCGAAAAAGGGCATTAAGGGGGAAAAAATTCTAAGCAGTTCCCGAACCACCGTGTGACTCTCACGGACAGCTTCCCCATGACAAATAGGACTTGTGACAACTGACGGAACGTAATTCGGACGCATAGGTAGAGAGTTAAAGCCGAATACGCCCTAAACTTAGGCGAAAAATGGCATTTCAGGGGTGAAAATTCTAAACAGCCCCCGAACGACCATGTGACTGTCACAGACAGTTTCCCCATGACAAATAGGACTTGTGACAACTGACGTAACGTAATTCGGACCTATAGGTAGAGAGTTAGAGCTGAATATGTCCTAAACTTAGTCGAAAAAGGGCATTTCGGGGGCGAAAATTCTAAACAACACCCAAACGACCGTGTGACTGTCACAGACAGCTTCCCCATGACAAATAGGACTTGTGACAACTGACGGAACGTAATTCGGACCCATAGGTAGAGAGTTCAAGCCGAGTACGTCCTAAACTTAGTCCAAAAAGGCCATTTCGGGGGCGAAAATTCTAAACAGCCCCCAAACGATCGTATGACTCTCACGGACAGCTTCCCTATGACGAATAAGACTTGTGACAATTGACGGAACGTAATTCGGACCCGTAAGTAGAGAGAAGCGAGCGGAATATGCCTTAAACTTACTCGAAAAAGAGCTTTTTGGGGGCAAAAATTCATAACAGCCCCGAATGACTGTGTGGCTCACACAGATAGCTTTGCCATGACAAATAGGACTTGTGAGAACTGATGGAACGTAATTCGAACCCCTAGGTTGGGAGTTAGAGCCGAATACACCCTAAACTTAGTCGAAAAAGGGTGTTTCGGAAGGGAAAATTCAAAACAACCTCCGAACGACTGTGTGGCTCACACGAATAGCTTCGCCATGACAAATAGGACTTGTGAGAACTGACAGAACGTAATTTGGACCCATAGGTTGGAAGTTAGAGCCGAATACGCCCTAAACTTAGTCGAAAAAGGGCGTTTCGGGGGCGAAAATTCTAAACAGCCCCCGAACCACCGTGTGACTCACAAGGACAGCGCCTCCATGACAAATAGGACTTGTGACAACTGACGGAATGTAATCCGGACCCGTAGGTTGGGAGTTAGAGCCGAATACGCCCTAAACTTAGTCGAAAAATGGCGTTTCAGGGGCGGAAATTCAAAACAGTCCCCGAACGACCGTGTGGCTCTCATGGATAGCTTCTCCATGACAAATAGGACTTGTGAGAACTGACGGAACGTAATTTGGACCCGTAGGTAGAGAGTTAGAGCCGAATACGCCTTAAACTTACTCAAAAAAGAGCTTTTCGAGGGTGAAAATTCAAAACAGCCTCCGAACGACCGTGTGACTCTCACGGATAGCTTCCCCATGACAAATAAGACTTGTGAGAATTGACGAAACATAATTCGGACCCGTAAGTTGCGAGTTAGAGCCGAATGCGCCTTAAACTTAGTAGAAAAAGGGCGTTTTGAGGGCGAAAATTCAAAACAACCTCTGAATCACCGTGTGGCTCACACGGACAGTTCTTCCATGACAAATAGGACTTGTGACAACTAACGAAATGTAATCCGGACTTGTAGGTTGGGAGTTAGAGCCGAATACACCCTAAACTTAGTCGAAAAAGGGTGTTTCGGAAGCGAAAATTCAAAACAACCTCTGAACGACCGTGTGACTCACATGAATAGCTTCGCCATGACAAATAGGACTTGTGAGAACTGACAGAACGTAATTTGGACTCGTAGGTTGGAAATTAGAGCCGAATACGCCCTAAACTTAATCGAAAAAGGGTGTTTCGGAAGCGAAAATTCAAAACAACCTCCGAACGACCGTGTGACTCACACGAATAGCTTCACCATGACAAATAGGACTTGTGAGAACTGACAGAACGTAATTTGGACCCGTAGGTTGGAAGTTAGAGCCGAATACGCCCTAAACTTAGTCGAAAAAGGGCGTTTCGGAGGCGAAAATTCTAAACAGCCCCCGAACCACCGTGTGACTCACAAGGACAGCTCCCCCCATGACAAATAGGACTTGTGACAACTGACGGAATGTAATCCGAACCCGTAGGTTAGGAGTTAGAGTCGAATACGCCCTAAACTTAGTCGAAAAAGGGCGTTTCGGAGGTGAAAATTCAAATCAGCCCCCGAACGACCGTGTGGCTCACACGGATAGCTTCTCCATAACAAATAGGACTTGTGAGAATTGAAGAAACGTAATTCGGACCCATAGGTTGGGAGTTAGAGCCAAGGTTGTTAAGATCGGGATCCTACATAGGATCGTTTTGGAGGTCTGGAGGATCGGATCGTAGGATCGGATCGGGGATCGTAAGATCCTACTAAAACGATGAAAAAATGCAATTATTCTTATATGTCTAACTAATACTATCAAAATACATATAAAATGACCCAAAAAAACTTGAGAATGTAGCTCAAATGGTAGAGCTCTCATACTTATGAGCAGATCGAGGTTCAAATCCTCGCATTCTCACTTGTGCACTAACAATAATCAATTCAAATATACATTTTACACATTTTTTTAAACAAAGAAAACATAATAAAAAAAGGTGGCCATTCAAGTTGTCATTCAAACATTTTCCTCAAATCTTAACAAAAGAACATACTAAAAGAAAATAGCAATTCAACTTCAAGTCTTCAAGTTAACACTTGCACAACATTGATATCCTTAACAAAACAAACTAAAATAAGAGAAGAATAAATAAACAAGAGGCTAAAACAAGTCATCATCTTCATCGCCGAAATCATCATTGCCACAATCAACAACATTGTCGATCTCATTGTCTCCCTCATCTTCATCATCACCCACAGTGTCACCCAACTCCTCAATGTCATCATCACCAATAGTAGCATCATCAAAGTCATCATCAAAATCCCTTGGAGCATTCATGTTGTCATCCATATCATCATCATCACTTACTTCATGAATTTCATCGACATTTTCTCCAATATGGTCACGGCCTAAGTCGAAGAAAAAAAAAATCCAAATTAAATCCAAATTGCAACTTCTAATTAAAACTAAAAGATGTATCATGTACCTAGACTTACATGCTTGTTCCAAATCCCTTGCAAGAGCATCTGCCTCTTCATCTTCTGAATGACATCCATGTCGAGCATTCCTATCAAGCACATGCAACCAATTTCCTTCTCTTGGAAGAGTCGGATTCTCTTTCTCTGTTATCCACTCATCGTCTGATGGAACATCATCCAAACATAATGGATTCATGATTGATTGTCTATTCTTGTGCCTTTGTCTCAGTTTCAAATTGTACATCACAAAGACCAAGTCATTCATTCTCTTTTGGTGTAAACGATTCCTCCGCTTTGAGTGTACCATCTCAAAAGCACTCCAATTGCGCTCACACCCCGATGAACTGCATGTTAGACTTAATACCCTGATTGCAAACCTCTTCAACTCGGGACATTCATCACCAAAAGAGTCCCACCAATCCCCTACATCAAAATTTTAATTAAGTAGTTCAAAATTTAAAGTTCTTCAAAACAAATAATCATAACATAAGATTGATAGATACAACTTACAAATCAACTTAGGGTAAAAATAAATAACCTGGAGATTTCTTTTTTCTAGTCAAGATTGCATTTTGTATACCAAAGAGTCCTCTTGCATTCTTGAATGCATCAATTTGCAAATCTATCTTCACCCTCTCATTAGTGTCAGGGACCATTTTTTCAAGACATTTGTACAACCCAATTTTAATCTCTGCATCAGCTTGAAAATTGGGACTATAATGAAGCTGAGGGTTCAAGAAGTATGCTGCAGCATGCAATGGGTGATGGAGTTGGGTTTCCCATCTTCTATCAATGATGGCCCATATAGGATCATAGCTGACACAATTTAATAAATATTATTAATGAATAAATAAATAGTTTATGGAAATAGTATTAAAGAGTAAATAAATAGCCAACACTAAATAAAAAGTTTACCATCTTATGATATTATTGAAATTCTTTTGAATTTCCTCTTTCGCACGATCCATTGCTTCATAAATGAATCCCATTGCCGGATGCTCATCCGAATCCACCAACCTAACTACCTTAATGAGAGCTACTGCAGCCTTCAAGCAGGTAGAAACACCCTTCCAAAAATATCGATTGTCCAAAACAATATTTTCAATTTTTTTCCCCTTTTCAGACTTCGCAAATCTACTATTCCTCCACTTGTTTGATGTAAATAGAGAGAACAATGCACCTTGTTGCTCATGAAGACGTCTCAATGTCAAGTAAGAGGTAGCAAACCGAGTTACCGCAAGCCTTGTAAGTTCAACGTCTTTTGTAAACTCCTTCATCCAATGAATAAGATTGGTTCTTGAATAAATGTATGCCACAATCTTTTTTCCTTTACCAATTGTAACACGATGAACTTGTATTTCCTTCTCAAAATCTTCTAACATCAAATCTATGCAATGGGCGGCACAAGGAGTCCAAAACAAGCCCTTTCTCTTATCCATTAACATTATTATTCATACTTTACAAAGAAAAACAAAAAAACGAAACATAAGAATTGGTTACAAAAATATCAATTCAATCAGCCATATGGAACATGTTCTAACATGCATTTAGGTAGAACAATCGAGAAATGTCTTCTTGAAATAAAAGAAACTATATATATTTATATATGCATCATGCAAAATTTTATTCCAACAACTGCACAAACAATGTAATAATGTATTTCTTCGTCCTAATAAATATTATAAAGGCAATTATTGAATATGTAATGTTATTTTTCATAAAGTTGTTGCTTTTAAACTAAGTGTTGCGAGTTTTTCGACCTAAGTGTAAGCGTATTCGGTGGGTGTTATGAATTTTCACCCCTTGAAAAAGCTCTTTTGTCGAGCAAAGTTTTAGGGCTATTCGGCTTAACCAGGTTTTAAATCGCGATCCGGATCGTTGGATAGTACGATCCTTACGATCCAAATTTTAGAGAATCGATCCAGATCGCCATGCTAATCGTATTTTGCTCAGGTCGGAACAGGATCGTTAGGACGTTAATGGGATCGTTAGGATCGTATTTGGATCGCTCCTATACGATCCTACTTTTGGCCCTTTCTGATGCTTTTATTACAGGTTTGATGCAACTTCTGTTTCTTCTAAAACTTACACATAGATTAGGGCAAAATATTGGGGTGAAAATTGCTGAGCGCCTCCATCGATCCAGCCTCCATCAGATTCCATGCTCCAGGTATGCTCTTCTTGCTTTCGTTCTTCTCTTCTTCTTCATTCTTCTTCTTCTTCTTCTTCTTCTTCTTCTCAGTTCGACTCATTCTTCTCTTCCTTTTCTTGTGCTTCGAGTCCTTCTCTTCTCCTCTATCGACTTCTCTTCTCCTCTGTTTGTTCTTCTTCGACTCCTTTTTCTTCTTCTCTCCATCTTCTTTTTCCCTCTGCTGCTGCCTTTTTTTTTCCCTTTCACTTTCCATTTTTCTGACCTTCATTTCCCCTTTTTTTCCCCCTTTCCACTTCGTCTTCCATTTTTCTCCTTCTTCCATTTTCCATTTTCCTGTCAACCTAATTAAATTAATTTTTAACTGTATTTATTTTTGCAGAATAAGACAACCAAAACCAAGGAAAAGTGCCGGCAGATACATTATATCAGTGTACCACAGGCTTCATTTTATGCAGGTTTGTTCTCATTCCCTTTTTTTTTTTCCCCCTTTTGTATGGAATTTTGTAACATAATTTGTAATTGAATTTGTTAATTTGTAAATTAAAGGGGTTCATAAATTATAGGAGAGATGAAGTTGATCACAGATGGAAAAGTTAGATTAGAGGGAAAATGTCTCTCCATGTTCACTGTTACTAAAGTGGTGGTGGTCACTTTCTATAGGATTTGTGTGCTAGCCTAAGATTCTTCATCTTCTCCAATTAACTTTCTAAATTCTAATTTATCCTTATCTATAATTTCAATGAGCCTGTGCAGGCATCATTGTATTTACTAT